ATTATTGACGCCTCGCGTATCCCCGCATGGAGCAAAGCGGAACTTGACGCATATAAGATGGATAGAGAGTTCAAGCTCCACGTCGACTGGTCGAGTGTCAAGGATAAGCACCGCAGACTCCTGCAACGCGACGCCAGACCGCACGCCGCTCGCGGGACCGATAGCACTGGCTGCCCACCCCCATGGACCACAGCGGGCAAGGGGGCGGCACGTGCGGCCCCGCCAGATCAGTGGACCCGGGCATCCAGCTCAGGCTCGTCGTGGCGTTGATGGCAGTCCTGGGACGCTTGGGGGCACCAAGGTGCGTCATAGACCGACACGGACTGGAAAGCGAAGGGCAAGCGTTACTCCCCAAGAGGAGATCGCCCGTACGCTGACAAGCGTCCACGAGGTTGGGACTCCCGACCCAGATGACGGGGGCGCAACGAGGACCCGTGCGGGACTGGCCCACCCCCCCCCAGCGAGAGTAGGGACGCACCGGTGATCGCCACGGCCCACCACCTAACGTGCTGCCTGCCGCGTGCAGCACACACTACTTCTTCCTTATCCTACCTCTCTGCCTGGCATTCGCCGCAACCCCCCCCCCCAGTCTGTTTCACCCGCAGCGCCCGGCCTGAGCCGCAATACCCTGTGCTACCTCCGATGGGGCGGAGGGGCACCAATACCCTTGCGCTGCGCTTTTAGACAGCCCACGCTGGACTCGTGGACCTTGCAGCACCCGGCCTCGGCCCAATACGTGCTACCTTCGCGGGGGCGGGGTGACACCAATGAGCTTCGCACATAGACAGCCCACGCTGGAGTCGTGGACCTTGCCAGGCCCTTCCATCCCCGCGGCCGATTGCCGCACGGGATGGAGGCCACTGCCAACATGGGCTCTGGGGTCGTCTGTGCCACCCTCCCAGGGCAGCCCACTTTGGACGGCAGAAACTGGTGGCTGAAATAACCCACCTCCTGCGCTCCACTTCTTTCACAGCACAGTGAACGGCAGCGGCTGAGGCACGAAATTATCCACCGCACCGCCCGCGCTCAGCCCCACTCCCCCGTGGTTCGGAAGTTCTGTGCATGGATGCTTGGGATCTGTGTTCAGCGGTTTTTGGCTGCGCCCCCTCCTCTTCTTCTCATTCACAATGTCTCTGCGGTTTTTGGCTGCGCCCCCCCACCATGACCGCCGAGATTGCACCGGACGCAGAAGAGCGGCCGCCCTGAGACCTTCCCAGGGCGTATCGGTCGGCCGACCAGCTAGGGTTCTACTGTGGTCGCCTGGGCACGTCAACGCGCAGCCAGCAATCGAGGCAGCCCAGAAGCTCGGCTGCTGCCAGCATCCTGCGCGCCCTGGAGTCGGAGGCAGACAGCGTCTACACGGGCAGCGACGCTGGTGTTATGAGGAGGTGGCGGTCCTCCTTTCACGTGGTGACTGGCCTCGTTGGTCCGCCCCGCATCGAGTGGTCCTGTCCCCGGATCCTGGGCTTTGTCGGCGCCCCCTCCTCCTCCTCCTCCTCCTCCTCCTCCTCCTCCTCCTCCGCCTCCTTCATTCACAATGTCTCTGCGGCTTTTGGCTGCGCCCCCCCCCCCGTGCGAAGATTGCCGCGGCCGCAGATGTGCGCTCGCCCTGAGACCGGCCCAAGGAGCTTCGGTCCCTCGCGGCTGATTCAGCCTTTGTTATGATACAAGGTCGCCTTGGCACGTCAGCACGCCCGTGGTCAAGATGTTCCGCGCATGGAGGCCCAGGGACCATGATTTGTGTCCTGCGGCATTTGGCTGCACCCCCCTCCTCACATTCACAAGTCTCTGCGGCTCTTGGCTGCGCCCCCCCCGATCAACAGCATAGATAGCATCGTCCGTTGAAGAGCGTCCGCCCTGAGACCCGCCCAGGGAACAGCAAGTGCCGACCCAGCCTGGCAGGTCAGCACGCTGCCAGCGAATGGTACAGCCCAGCAACTAGGCAGCTGCCAGCGGTCCGCGTGCCCCGGCTTCGGACGTATCCGTCCTCCGCAGGGGCAGCGTGGCAGGTGGTGAGTGGGGGCGGCTGCCCACCATACACCAATGGTGAGTTGCCTCGCCGTATGAGCGACCCGCATCGAGTGGTTCAGCCTTCTGCGGTCAAGTTCGCTCAGCTCTTCTCGGTGCAGCCACAGCCCCAGCCCTCGCCAGGACATCACATCGTTGTGCCCCCGGACCGCGTGAGTCGGATACGATGTGAGTGCACTGGCTACCGGCTGATGGTTGCCAGCTTGTGCGCGCACACCACTGGAACTTTAGTGGATGGAGGCCCGCCATCCCACAGTGACACCAGTGCTCAGCGGCAGGCCGCGCCCCCCTCCCGTCTGTGTTTCGCCCTGGTTCTTCGCTGGCCCGGTCATGGCGCTACCACAAGGACGTCTCGGCCCGCTGTCAGCACGCTGCCTACGTGCGTTACAGCCTACAGTTCGGTCGCCGCCAGGCATCGGCTCCCTACGGGCGTCGGCGTACTCGGCTTCCCCGGGCTGCGTGACAGGTGGGG